TCTATTTTAAAGATCTTTCATTTTCAAAGGGGCTGCATTGTCTAAGCTGGTACGCAGAGAACTAGCAACCCCATCAACAAAATCATCAACCAATTAATTTTGTTCTGTTAATTTAAAATGGATTAACTTAGATCTGTTTTCTAGATCTTATTTTAAATCTGCAGGACTGGGATTGGATAAAGCAGGATAATCTGTCCTGTTAGATCCTACCTCAACTACATACCTTCCTGCAACATTTACAAGCAACATCCTCAGTACTTTTAGTCAAAGTCATCCTATAGACTCCGCCCCCTACACATCCTAATCATGCATCAGTGAGGAAGTCAGAAGCTCCTCAGGGCACTGGGTTTGTATCAACACATTTAAACACACAGTTTTGGACAATAGACCAGGCAGGAATCATCCTGCAGGAGGAACTCCATGGATCTGAAGCAGCAGGAATCACAGAAGCAGACTTGGGACCTGACTAGACGGACACTTGGGAGAAGTGCAGTTGTTCCACCTCTGGTAGGAACCAGATCAGACTGATTTCTAATAATAGTTATCATGTGAATCAGAACCGTTTTGTCCCTAAATAATTTTCTAGAAACATTTAAAAATAACATACCTGTTCATGATAGTCAGACTGACTTGGCTTCCGCTGGCGGGCAAGTCGCTCAAGTCTCTCCTCTCCTTTATCACCTGAAGACAGAAAGATTTTTTCTGATCGATAGACCTTGAAGCTTCTGCTGATCCTTACAGCTCATCCTTTAAAATGTACCTCTGATGGCGGTCCAGTCAGGACTATCATCCAGGAAGTACAGTCCTGTTGTCTTGGTGACGCTGCTCATTGCACTCTGGTCTTCGTCCAGCCTGGTGCATGATTGGTCGAGTCCTGAGTCATCCTCTTCATTTTTGGATGAGAACTGTAAAACGCCAGCTCCTCCGTTTCCTGAAAACAAAAGAGGATGAAAAATAATGAAAAAACTGTTTACTGGTTTTAATTTAAGTTGAGTTTATTAGAAATTTAATGTCATCTTCTCCATTAATCAATAAAACATCCACCTCTCTATTAACGAGCTGCTTTGCTGATTTTTATAACATCCAAAAACATTCCTAAGTGTCTCACCAAGGTTGTCAAAGTCGTCCATGTACTCCTGATTAATGTCATTCCTGTCCAGGGAGGAAGTGGAGGACAGAGACATGTCCTCCAGCATCTCGCCGACAACTGATCCAACTTCCTGTGGAAGGATCTCATTTGAAAGCTGCTCCAATTCTGGGGCCTCTGGACTGTTTTCTGCAGGGAAAGGAAATCTAGAGACAAACCCGAGTCTACAGCTTCAGCAACGATAGCTGACCCAAAGAAAAGACGGACTTACCGGGTTCGTGTTCAGTCGATGACGGCGACTCGACTGAGTGAACATCCTTTTCACCACTGTGCACGATGGCTCCTGTCGCTCGAAGAGGGCAGGTCTTCTTGATAAGTGACGGGCGGGACAGTTTATAGCTGATGCCGATGGGTCTGGCCGTTGGATTCGGAAAGAGGGGCGCCTTTAGGGCAGACTGTGGCAGCTGGGAGGTGGGGGCCACCCCCAGTCTCCCTGGAGCAGCTCTGCTCACAGGTGATTTTAATGCCTTTCCTCTATGAAGAGCATAAGAGGAGGAGGAAGAGGCGGGGGATCCATGTTGGGCAGCTTTGCTGGTGAAGGTTGGAGACGCCTGCTGGCGGACCTGGTTGAGGCTCTGGGAGCGAAGCCGATCGCGGTCAGTCAGCCGCATGGCAGCAGGACCGCCAATGTTATCGCTAGACTGGGAGCGGCTGGCAGCCGCTTTCCTCAGGAGGGGGGAACTAGACTGAGATCCAGAACCTGTAGGAGGCCGAGGGAAGGTCGGAGCCTGCCTCAGAGAACCGCTGATCTTGGTCTCTGATTTTGATCCTGGACTTTTCTTTAGGCTTTGCTTCGACATGTTGGACAGAACTGATGAGGTCGGGTTTGGTTTGGAACCTTGAGATCTGTTTTTAGGAACAGGAAGAGCTGTGGGGCTGGACTGTGGAGACGGTGATGAGGATGATGATGTAAGCTGCCTTCGGCCTTTAGCTGCAGAGGGGCTGATTTGCTTGTTGACATCCTGCTGTGACAGTAGCGCCCCCTGCTGCACACACAGCTGAAAGGCGCTGCCACCTTTTCCTTTCTTGCTCTCAGCCTCATCACCATCAGCTGCGTGTTCCTTCCTCCACTTTGTCAGAAATGAACCGGGAACCCGGATGAATCCGTTCTGCTTTGCAGACGATGAGGGCATGGCGCCTCCTGCAGGTCCGGGGTGGTGGTAGAACCCGTTGGTAAGACGAGTTCTGCCAGCTGCTGGAGCTGTCTGTGACCGGGAGCTTAACTGGGGGAGGCGGGACACCATGGTGGGCATGATGGAAGGGTCAACAAGAGGAGAAGCAGACATCAGACTCCGCCCACTTCACCATGGAGACAATTATCCAGTAAAGCTGCACTGGATGGAGAAGGAGAGAGGAAGAAGGCACACCAATATTTAAAACATGAAAGATTCACAATCTGTCCTTGTGAAAATATCTCCAGTGGATATTTCAAGAAGTTAAGAGGAAAACTATCAGACTTCCTCTGATGACCAACTGTTCAGAGATCAACATGAATACAGAAAGTTTTACAGCCAACTTTACTGCCAAATAATCAAAGGTCATTGATTAAGAGCTGAAACGTGTGGCGATAACACCTGAACGTAGCTCAGCTGATGAGTCACTGCTGCTGCAGCCGCAGCAATAACAGGAATGAAACATCCCTGCTATCTTAGTCAGGATTTTCTATTGACTTCATTTCTACAGCCTAGCTGTGACCCCTGACAGCTTCATAGCTAATCCTAACCCCAACCTGAACTCAATCCACCCCTCAGATCTAAACCTGTCCACCATCCAAAGAAGGGAGGGACTATTCTGGCCCCCATGAGGATGGGGGGCAGGTTTACCTGCAGATCGCCTCAGAGCGTCCCAGAATTCTGGGAAATTGGCCCCTTTTACACTTTCCCCACAATGTAACTAATCCAGGGTTCTTCAAGTGCATCGGCACGCTACGCTAAAAACTGTCAGGGCTGTGATGAAGTACGACCAATTGTCCTCCCTGGCTGACACCCAGGCCCCCTCTCTTTGGTTTCTGTTGAACGCGCTGCAGAAACAAGGCTGGATGAGCTAAAAGTAGAGGCCGTCATCGGCCAAGATGCCACCAATAGAAACTTCTGCCACTTGCTTATTCTGCTCCTCCGCGCCTCCCCTGCTGGCCAGCCAGATCGGGACGGATCATCTGCTCTTCAGTGCTGCTGAACAGAAGGAGTTTTAAGCCCTTCAGTTTGGAACAGCAGGAACACGTTTCATCAGTTGCTGGGGCCATCACTGACTGGTTTCCATAATCCCTCCATATTTCAGACAGGTAGTTATCTAAACCTCACCTTTTCCCAGGAAAAAAGAAGCCGGTCAGCGTACGACCGATATATGGCGGGTTTGGTCCATGATGCGGCCATCACAGCTTCTAGTCCTGCCCTGGTGGGTTTTGCTGTCTTCCCTAATTTTCTAATCCCATTTCCTGTCTCCCTGCTTAGAACATAAGTACTAAAAAAACTAATAAAATAATCCATAAATTTCTATAGAACCAATTTACATCATGTCAGGTCAATTTATAGATCCAGGTCAACCAGATCATTCAGTTTTCTATCTAAGGAAAACCAGCTGATTGCATCGACTCATTGACTCTTCAGCAATCCCTCACACTAAGCATGCTTGTAGCGACAGTGGAGAGGAAAAACTCCCTTTGAACAGGAAGAAACCTCCAGCAGAACCAGGCTCAGTGTGAGCACAGCTCCCATGTCAGAGGATGAAGAGAGCACATCCAGTTAGTCACAGTCAGAGAAACAGGACTACACTGGAAAACAGGCCAAGCTCCAACATCTAGAAACAAAGGTGTTGATAGCAGCAGCACAGAGATATTTCTCTCCAGGATGGAGGGTTAGAACCAATTATAAACCAACGATAGTTAGAGGAGTGCTAATGATCATATCTCAAATAGAATCCCATAAAATCATTACTGCTAAGAGCAGGTGGGCTGATGGTTCCACAGAGCGATGGCTCTGGGTGAGTTTTACTTAGACAACTTTTTTTTTCATTTTGTACACAGAGTGTATACAAAACAAAATTTATTTTTGTACAGCTCTCATGACATTTCCATTTCTTAAAGTGCAGCAGTTTGGCAACTGGTTTAAAAAGATATCTAGAATTATTCTTATATTATTATTCTTATTTTTGCTCCTATACAGCTGCAGGCATGTAAAGAAACATTCTCTCTCCAGTTTTCCAGCATTTTGTTTCAAAGTGCCTTTTATTCCTGATTAAGTTCATCAATAAAAACAGGACATCATCCCACTGCCCTACAGCTTCAGCACATGGTCTGTTTGGTTAAATTAGAAGATAAAACATCAACTATCTATTTCCTAACCCAGAGACAACCAACTGTGTATCACAAGCTTCTTCATGCCTCAAAGAAAACAGCTGATGTGAACATGGTGCCACAGCTGAGGAGCTTGTGATTTCAGTGTGAGAAAAGAATTTTCTGTTTTTTAATCATCTTAAGGGAGAAGAGATGTTAAATTACATAAACAATCCAGATTCTGATGATCATCCTGCAGTGATTGCATTAAACCCAGACATTTTCCACTTTACAGTAAAAGAAGGAAGATGCGAGGCAGCATGGAGGCGAGTCATGGCTTCCTAAACAGTCACCGTGACGCAGCAACGCAGCTTTAAATCTCACTATAACTACTGAACTGAAAGGTTAGAACCCATTAAAACGTGTGCTATGATTGGCAGTCAGTATAGCCAATCAGAAGGTAGCGTCGCCTCATGTGGTTAACAGCAGACTAATTGTGTTCAGTCTCAGGAGTGGAGCAAACAATGATCGTTTTCTTTGTCATAAATGATTATTATCAAAGATTCTGTCTACTTTATACACTTTAGTCTTAATTTATTGCAGAATATTTTGGGTCATTTGTCATTCTTTTTTATATGCTAACTGCTAAGCTAACATTCATCACTAAGTGTTTTTTGCGTGTTATTAGTTTTTTTAGTGGTTACTGAATAAGTGAAATTATTTATTTTTAGTAATGTTCTTATGTAAAGAACCACACAGATAGTTTCTGTTGGTCTAATGTCTGATTTATTAGCCTCACCTCCAGTGATGCTAAGAAAGCTAACCCTCCTACATTTGAGTGGTTAGCTTTATTAGCCTCTCCTCCAGTGATGCTAAGAAAGCTAACCCGCCTACATTTGAGTGGTTAGCTGTATTAGCCTCTCCTCCAGTGATGCTAAGAAAGCTAACCCGCCTACATTTGAGTGGTTAGCTTTATTAGCCTCTCCTCCAGTGATGCTAAGAAAGCTAACCCTCCTACATTTGAGTGGTTAGCTTTATTAGCCTCTCCTCCAGTGATGCTAAGAAAGCTAACCCTCCTACATTTGAGTGGTTAG